GAAATGAAGTGCAGTCTGGCTCTCCCAGCATGCACGCGGTTCGATTGGCTAGCGCTTGCATAAACGGGATTTGATTGGCTGATGCCAAGCATCGAGCCTCAAAAGTTGAACATTGTTCAAGTTGAACATTGTTCAACTTTTGATGCCGATAGATGCTCGTGATGCTTGCAAAGCCATAACATGCTCCCCACAATGCAGTTCGGCGAAGATTACAAATCTTCTACGTCACCCCATTCAAGTGAATGGGCGAAGCGTTGAAAGCATTTTTCGATGCCTGTAGTGTAGACGGGCCGTTGCGTCCACACGGCGGCGTGCGTTGAAGCTTGCTGGTGAGCTTGTCTGAAACTCGACCAACAACCAATCACATGAATCTCCCGCCCCGGACACACAAACACGCGGTTTGATTGGCTAGAGCTTGTACTGGCATATGATTTGATTGGCTGACGCTTCCGCCGAAGCTTCAAAAGTTGAACATTGCTCAACTTTTGAAGCGAGCAACGCGAGCAAAGCGAAGCAACGCTCCCACAATGCAGTTCGGCAAAGTGTGACGTCACCCCATTCAAAGTGAATGGGCAGATGCGTTGATAGGGGTGGCGAACATGATTCAGACGCACTATAAAACCCTACAAATTGTGGACTATCAAAAATAAGTATTATAACCACGCTTTAAATACAGTTGAGGTGACATTTTTGTATTTTGTTTCTCTTCGGAGCACATATGAAAGAAAATAATTGCTTTTGTAAAACCAGTAGAATTTATTATTTTGTACTTGTTAAATGATGAGAGCGATGTCAAACGTTTTCCTCGGGCTGCTTTGAATCAGTTTTGGAGAGAGCATAATTTACTATGACAAGGCACTATAACAGTAAATCTCTGTTTCTGAGGAAATACATACTGCATGTTTGATCATTCACAAACCAGTCTTTTGTTCATCACAGTTACAAACATAAACAAATGAGTGATCATGGTTTTAGATGCTGATAACGCCCAGATTAAACAAAGCTGACAGCTTTATGTGTTTGCCAGTAAACAGGAACAAAATACCCTTTTAAGTATTGTATGCACATGATAGATTTTAGAAGCAAAGAAACTGTTGACGTTGAGTATTCGAGCGTATAACATCATTTATTACAATTTGAAGCTGTCGGTGGAAGATTATATTTCTGGAGTTACAGTCTCAGTCCTGGCTGCACTTTAAGGTCACACTGTGTTTGTGATGTTCGACCAAAGTGATACAATGAGCCAGACGTGTCTCATTGGATCACGGTTTCTTTTTTGGGGATTTGTTTCTGTGGCCAGACTGACCCGTTTTCTCTATTTGTGCTTCTGTCTCTTCTCTTCGCCTCCTCACTTCTGTCTCTCTTGGCCTCATGGTCCAGAAACCAGACTCTCCATAAACAGGTCATTAGAAGCCCAGATTTGCTGCCCAGTATTCCCACTGGAAACTGTTTTTTATCGCCGGGAATGATGAAACGTTAATAGCCTGGCTCCCTCAAAGCTTCCCAACATGGCCAAACAGAAGTACATTGTTTGTGAGTGGTTTTTTATAAACTTCTAGGGAGTACGTTTACCTTCGCTGTTGAAATTCACCCTTTTACAGTTTCTGGCCAACGTATAAAGGGCACAAAATGTTCCTTTGCCAACAATACAGCAACATTAACTGTTAAAACTATGTTGACAGAAAACTACATTCATTTACCAACTAAAAATGGGATTATTTTTGATTGAAATCAGTTCACCAAACCCCATCCGTTCTCATACACTGTTTGTAGCTAAATAATAACATTGTATACACTGATATACACCGTCATTTGTGTTTTTGCAAGACAGTTATTTATTTGTTTTTCACAAATTTCCAAATCCAAGTCCCCCTCATGTTGTGTTGTCACTTTCTGTATTTAAGAGCTCAGTTAGGTGGTGCGTATTTTGCTCCAGCCTGACAAGATTACTCTCTAGCTGTGGAACTGGTAACTCGAAGTAATAAATATTATATCAACTTGAAGCAAGAGGATAATGTGCGGACTAAATGTGCGCACTACAATAACTAATGTAATGCCAACAATAGTAAATTAACTGTGTGTATGTTGTATGAAACAAAAGCTTTGTATGAACTAGGCGTTCTGATGTTTCTGAAATGCACATACGGTCAAACTCAATGTGGAAAAAATCAACCCTTAAGAGCTATTAAGTGTATTATACAAAGCTTAAGCTGTGAATAACCTATATTTAAATCAGGCGATGCATCCATTACAGATCCAATATTACAATAAATTCCCATCAACCATCAGCTTTAATTCTGGTGTTCACTGCTTGTACCTGCTAATCATCAGCATCACCTCCAGTTGCAAAGTAATTGTGGCCAGTATATAAATGCAGTGGAGTACAAAGTACACTAATTACAACTGATATGAGGTACAGTATAAGAAATGATTGGCAGACAATTGTATAAAACTAACAACAACATAAGCTTGAGTAATTATACTTTCCACCTCTGCAGATGGAAGCTTACAAAGGTACAACCTTTAGATTGGAAGAATGCATTTTACTGTACATGTGTGAACGTATCTGAGTCCATATGATGTGAGTGAGCTACTGTGTGTTCGACCTGCTTCGTTTTTGACCCACCAGCCTCTCCACAGACAGGGAGCTCGGCACAGAGTTCTCCCTGTGGGAGAGGAGGAGTGTGCGAGCAACCACCATGTCAACTGTCTTCCTGTCACATTACCATACGCTCCTGCAGTGGGACTGCTAATTACGTCTGTGTGTGACAGCCACACCGCCAAGGTGGTGAGAACAAGATGGCTTGAAAGCGGCGGACGCAAGGGGGAGGGTGACTCTCTTCTCATGAGCGCGGGAGTTAGACATGGGAAAAGAACGTCATTTTGTTGTAATTCTTGCTTGATTTCACTGTGATGTGGAAGGTTGACGTCTTTCATCACATTTGCTTCCGAGTTTGTAAAATATTTCACAATATAAGATGCTGCTAATTGGATGATGAAACACTTATTGGCTCGAGGGAGGTCACTACATTATTTGCTGGTTTAATAGCTCGGACAAAATTAATTGGATTTTAATTATACTTCTTCAAATAATGCACCTCATCACTTCTACATAAGACGAAGTGGGACACTATAGCTGACCGGGGCTGCCATTTCAGAGTATTTCTTTTTTTAATTTAGCGACAGCTTGACATGGTTGTGTACTACTATTTTAAAATGTTATTCTGGTAGTCAGCCCAGTTAGTGGTCTGTTGGAGTTTGAGCCTCCAGAGTTGAGCTTCAAACAAGCTCAGACAGATAAAACTGGTCAAATTGAGTGAGGGAGAGTCTAGTTGTGATATTCCTGTGGTATTCCTCAGGCTGCACGGCTCTCTGGGGCTTTTCGCAGCGTCTGAGCTGTGGGAGAGGGAAGAGCAACAGGAAGGAGATATGACAGTTAGTCACCTCAGAGACGGGAACAGACTGAGGAGATCTGAGACCTTCTCCCAAATGGCTTTTGACAGTTTAACACTATCTACTCTCTCTCTCACTATACTCCTGCTTCACTCTCTTCACGCATGTATGTCAATGTATTTTATACTAGCTGTCTCCGCTTGTGTTGGATGCTGCTGCATTGTATTCCCATGTTAAAAAACCTCAATATTACCCTGATCTTCACCTTTTTGCTCCCCAGTTAAATTCAGAATATTACTCCTTCATATTAAAGCCCTGCAGAGTCTTGCACCTGCTTACATCACAGGTCCACTTGTGCCCTGCAGCATTTTACGGACCCTCAGATCTTTATTCCAAGCTCTGTTGCACAGTTACATCTACAAAAAGGCCAGGGACAGTGCGTACAAACTGTGACAGTGGCTTGAATGGATTTATTTTGTTCTAAATTAAAAGAAAAGATCAAATGCAGGCAGGGGCCAGGGTCTTTGCAGATAGATAAATCCTACTAATAGTTATTTTAATGACTGAATTCAATCATAAGACTGCTAAAACATTTTGACCTTGAGGTTCAAGGTTAACATACAAAGAAAATTGTTTCCTTACTGGTTGAGGATTTCTGCTCTTGTGTCTATATTTGATCTACTTTAAACTTTTCAATAGACATCCGCCTCTCCTCGAGATGGCCTACTTTATTTAAATGATATTTGAAGGACATGGGTTCGGTGTTATGTCCATCCGTCAGCGCACAATGAGTCGGTATGCAAATGTATGCTAAAAGGCAAAGACAAATGTAAGAGTGGACCACCCCTTCTTGACAGAAAGAGAGCAGCAGGACTTATGTCTGCACATTGGAAACACTATTACCAGATCTAGGCAGAATATGGACAAGCAAAGCTCAATAAAGGTTCGACATCATAGTACTCTAGGGTGGAGGTGAAAGTGGTTTCCATCAATCAATTATTGTTTAAATTCTCTTTTCAGAGACACTTTTTAGTAAATCATGGATATAGATGAAAATGAAATGTTATAAAGCCAAGTTAGGTGCCATTGTCCAAGCACATCACCTAAAATGTAGTCCTTTCCTTTTTCTTTATTTGTAATTTCTCATTAAATTAATTGGATTTAGTGCCTCTCCTCTTTCTCATGACTTTTAAAGTGATGTTTTAACAATTGAAATGCTTATTAAACAAGTGGACAGATTATTAAAATGCAGTGTCCTACTCCTAGTAGTGGAAAAGTTTTATACAAATGTGATTGTTCTGCAGCAGTAAAGATGTTAAAGGTGCTGCTTAAATGAGCAGCAGCAGCCGAGTTAATTTGAAAAAGCTTTCATCCGTTTGCTTCTGTTGTGGGAGAAAGTTCAGCACTATACTCAGATGTTCGTTTCTAAGTTTCTGAAACTGATTTCCGACTCATGAAGCATTTTCAGAAGTGGAAAAAATGAACTTTAGCCTAAAAAAAACTCATCAACCTGAAAGTAAAAAACCCAAACTGCTGATGCCTGTGTTAAAGACCAGCTCAGGAGAATAACCTCCCCCACCTGAATCCTTGACTCTTACTCTTTACAGGCGGAGGGATCCTCATTCCTGCAGATGGGAGCGTCTCTTGAGCAGCAGATCGTCTGCATGTTCAAGGTAGAGTAAAACATTTCAGAGTTACAATAACTGACAATCCAACCTCATCTGAACCCAATTTTGGGATTAAAATCTGGTTGTTGGGTCAATCCAGACAACTGGGACGACCCAGGTTGATAAAGTCCATGAAAGGACAACAACCAGCTACAAGGGAATCCCTGATCCGAAGTCATGGCCCCAATTTCTACAAGTTGATACAATCTGTGTTTATGATTGTACAAACAATTCTCATGAGATCATAGGGCTTAATGTCACTGATGTTTTGCCAATCAAAGGGATGATCTCAGTTCAGTCTGTGAAACCAAAACATTAGATCCTCATCATCATCAAACTGTAGAGTCCATGCTCATCATTTAGTGGCAGTCTCAATTGACAGGGTTATTTATGACGAATCATTTCTTTTAGAGTAAATGGATCCCACTCTCGTGTCTGTACCATCAAAAGAGAGCCAAACGGAGAAAACCGCCATTTAGCTTAGCTTAGCATAAAGACTGAATACCAAAACAAACAGGTATCAAAATACACATAATACAAGAGGTCTGATTTTCTCATCATCAGTCCATCACAATTTTCCACTTCCAATCATTCTTAAGTCCTTCATCTGATAACCTCATTACCATTATCATTTTGCTACTTTATTTCTATATGTCCCTGTTTCAGCTCATGGAGGAGTATGACTGGGGCGAGTTTGCGGTGATCACCAGTTTGCTGCCGGGCTACGACACCTTTGTGGATATAGTTCAGTCCTACACAGATACCTCCTATTTCCTGTGGAACCTGCAGGATGTTTTGTCTCTGGAAATGTCCGTTGGGTCAAATGATGCGAGGACGAAGCGCATGTTGCAGCAGGTACAATGAGCTATAGAAATCCCATATTGGGTGGCACCAGCTTTAATCTATCACTTAGTTTGTGTGAAGGGCTCAATTCTTACAAATAAGTGCTGTACTAAATGGGGTTACTGCATCATTAGTCTCTGAACACCTACATGGTGTTTTCAGTTACTCTGGATGATTCGACCTCTACTCAGGTTGAGTGTGGGTTGGAGCTTTGATTGGAATGTATTACGTTACGAATGACTATCTTCCAATTCAAATGATAAATATGTAATTTTTTCCACCCTAAAGCTTGACAATGGTTGTACAGGTGGACATTTTATACATGTCGTATATGTCAGGCTCTTGCACAGTTGAAGCAGAGCCGCAGGTTGGTTGCCTGAGTTCCCATAACACGACAATTGTTAACAATGTACAAACTATACAGTAAAACACATTGACTTTAAAAGAAAAAAATTCAGCAGACTCATTTTGAGTACCATGCAAAGTGCTATATAAATAACATGTATTATTGTCACTATTATTATTATTAGGTACATGTTTACTGGGGCAATAATTCAAATGGATAGTACTGTAATTTTCTCATAGATGTCTTAACCATCAGAATCATTTTTGCAGTCAGTAAAGTCGGCTTGATATCAGAGAGAATGCAGGTTTAGGGCACTTCTACATTGGGTTCACTTCATTGACTGCCCCTTGGGTCGGACATATTGACCATTATCCATGCCTTTTTTACTATTCAGACTTAATGTGTTATATCTTAGAGAGCTAACATTACGGCTACCGTTGGTTCTGTTGCAACCGTCTTATTAGCAGTTACCGGGAGTGAATATTGGGTAACAATATTTGCCTATGAAAGAACTAGTCTGTGTGAGGCAATCTTTGTATTTATTGTTTAATTGGTTGGCATTAGTTTTGTGAAACTTAAATCTGAAACAGCAAAAAGTTTAGAAGCAGGCTGAAGTTTGGGGAACAGCTGGTGCTGCAGGCTCTTAATGACCTGCAGCATGTTCAGGGTGTTTTCTCTCTGACGGACTTGTTCTCTCCCTCCGCAGGTGGATTCTCAGGTCCTTATGGCGTATTGCTCCTATGAGGAGGCACAGTACTTGTTTCAACAGGCTGCTGAGGTGGGTCTGCTGGGGCCAGGATACATCTGGATCATCACCAGTCAGGCCGTGGGCAACCCTGATAGCCCTCCACCTGCCAGCTTCCCTATTGGTGTTATCGGTGTGATTACGGACCAGTGGAGGAAGAGCCTAAGGCAGAGGGTGAGGGAGGGTGTCGCCATTGTAGCTCAAGGGGCTGAGAGCTTCAAGAAGCTGTACGGGTTTATTCCTGAGGGACAAGGTGACTGCACCAAACTGGCTAAACACTCAGACAACAATACTTTGTTCAGGTGAGCAACACTTTCTTTCAGTGAACACAACTTGAATGAATTGTGCCAGGGATGAGATATTTCTATAGGACAAAATGGAAGTTTGCAGCGCAATGGTTTCCCCGACAAAAAGTCAACAGGATTTTTTCATTGGATTTTGGCCTAGTGCAGAGAGAAAAGCTTTGAAGCAAACAAATGTTTATGTTACTTAGTTTTGCTCAACAAGATAATTACCACAATTGTTATAATTGTTGAAGTTCAAATACGATTGCCACAAGTCAAAGCTGATGTAATGCTATTAACTAACTACTGTACACCACGGTCGCATGTCTTCAATGTCGACATCATGAAGTACATGAGTCCCCTCTGGGCTACATGATGAAGTTCAGTGTCCCCCAAAACCTCTTTTGTGTCATGTAGTCAGCGAACGCAACTTCTAGGACATGTAAAAGCTTCCAAATTCCCAATTTGGGTTTTTACTGACATTTTCGACATCATACAAAACATGAACTTATGTTATTAACTATGTTAACCACAGACCATACAGAAATGAAAATTGACCTCCAAACAAGGGAACTGGAAGTGCAAAAGTGTTGACTCACTTTGGGGTTTTGGGACTCATTCCTGCAGCACTGTATTCTTATAAGAGTGATCATTACTGTGGCACGTACGGAAGAGCAAAACGTCAACTTCAGCTGAACAGCATGAAGTGAAAGTATGTTGCGACTCTTTTTCACATGTTCTGAAATGCAAATTGACCTAGACTCATTATTCACAGACCCTGTCTGTCAAGGATGTGTATCTTAACAGAATGAAATCAGTCAGTAGGAACCCTCTCCGCCAATCAGCCGCCTCCCTCTTCCACTAATGAGCTACTTCCAGCCTCCCACGTTAGATTAAGCCCTCCAGTGGAGCTTTAGGTTTAATTAGGAGGTGATCATTGTGTGTGTTTATCTGTGTAAACGAAAATGCAAATTCTCAAATGATATATCAATGTCCTTGATTGTGTTCAACATCATTTTTGTATGACTCTATGTTTGTGTGGGTTGCAGGCACATGCTGAATGTGACGTGGGAAAGGAAAGATCTGTCATTCAACAGCCAAGGCTTCCTCACCAATCCTTCCATGGTCCTCGTCGCTTTGGACCGTGACAGACTTTGGGACAAGGTACTGGGCACCAGATACTGAATCACACTAACAAGCTGGAATGACTACCCACGAACAATAAGATGTTCGTCCCGTTATGTGCCCATATAAAGTTTATATACAGAGGACTTGTATAACGAGATATATAACGGATTTACAGATTCATTACGCTGAGAGTGACATTTGCAAAGACAGTTAACATTTTCTGTTAGCAATGCACCCAGGGATGATCAAATAACTGCCATTGGAGTGCTTTGATACTGATAGAATCGTTCGTAGGAGCATCTTTTTTATGATCTCTAAATGTGAAGTTGTATTCAACATCAAAAATAATGATATTCTCGGAAAGTGTAAGTCACATTGAATATTTATAAGAATAGTGTATCATGTCCGTGTTCAGATTTGACTGAGTTATACAATTGTTTACCCAAATTACATCAACGGGGCACTAAGGTTTCTTTTAAGTGTCTTGATTGCTTCTTTATACTGTGTGTCACATCCACTGCTGCAGCTCCAACTGTGCTGACCGCAGTGGTGAACCGGCACAAACAGCAGGACGGGACAAACTACAAAACAATATCTTCCCGTTGTTTTTAGAACCCCAGCGTGAACCCGTATTTTAACCCCACACAGTATCTTTTCCTCACATCTGTCCCTCTAACCCAGGGGTGACAAACTCAATTTCATCCTGGGCCACATCAGCATTATGGTTGCACTGAAAGGGCCAGTTGTAATTTTAATTATATATAAATATACATATGTAAATATATATTAAATAATGTATTATATTACATTGTTGGCCCTGCATTGGATTATTATCAGTTCTGGTAATATCTTCCTAAATAACTACTTCTGAAAGAAGACCCTGATTATTGCTACTATCTCTGCTGACCCTGATTATTGCTACTATCTCTGCTTTTATGGATGTGTTCTCGTTTATGTACTGCAGTGAGAGATGCCAACTGAATTTCGTTGCACTGATGTGTGATGACAATAAAGATATTCTATTCTATTCTATTCTAGAAGTCTATTCTATTCAACAATTACACCAATTTTATGGGCCACATAAAATTAGGTCGCGGGCCGGATTTGGCACCGGGCCTTGAGCTTGACACCCCTGCTCCAACCCCTCCACCCCTCCACCCCTTTTCTTGCTGTCACAGTGGAGATGTCAGCGTCTTTGACTTGAACAATTGGTCAAAAGATAACTCCCCAATCACTCTGAACCTCACAAATAAATGGTATTTGAAAGGTACAAGTGTAGGCGTACATTATAATCAATAATGTTTTGTGTCTGTGTGTTTCCTCTTGAAGCCCTCTTACTCCGGTTTTATTGTCACCATGCTTTGCAATTTTCTTAAGAATGTTCACTACCTTTTACACACACACAAACACACACCAATCTTTCAAAGCCTGAGGGTGTATTGAAAAAGTTAGACTAAATAGAGAGACCTGAACGTAATCTCACAGCTACAGTTGAACTCATTTATTTCTGGCCTGGAAAGACCAACCTATACTTCATCAATGTCACCTCCTGGCTGGTGTGTAAGTCTGCGTGTGTGTATGAACATGGACATGTAATTGTGTTGAAGTGGGGTTTTGTTTTGGTGTGAGTGTAGATTTGAAGGTAGCAGCCAGCACTTCATCTATTCCTTATGTCCTCATGTTGAAGTGTAGATATACTGCTGTTGTGGACACACACACACACACACACACACACACACACACACACACACACACACACACACACACAC